ATTGGGCCAGAAAAAAGAAGTTGGAAAAAAAAAAAAAAAAAAAAAAAAAAAAAGTTAGAACAGAAAATATCTTTTATCTTGTCTGGTAGGAGCAAGCCATTGGGCCAACTAATAATGAAAGTAGAAAATGGCCACAAATGAAAACAACTTATCTCTGAATCCAAGTCTCCAAAGCCTGGTTAGTTCAAGCACAGATCCTTGATGCTAGCCATTGACATAACCACCCACCCATGGCTTCTTCCCAATCCTGGTTCAATCTTAGGAAAAGCACAGCCGCCCCGGCAGCCGCGGCGAAAAACCATTGCCAATCTGCAAGAAAACAGCCAAACAAGACAAGAACCCACGGCAGCTGCAGGCAATATCAGACGCCAGGTTCTTACCTCACAAGGAAGAATTAAGCTTAATGCATACCCGGATCGAGAATTCTATGCTTTTCCACGGTTTGTTACTCATGTCGGCAATGGTTTCATTTCCACTTTAACCAATTTGTATCGGGAAAGGCTGCGTCCAGGTATCGAAGTCCTCGACTTGATGAGCTCTTGGGTTAGCCATCTCCCTAAAGAAGTCGAGTATAAACGAGTGGTTGGACATGGGTTAAATGCTCAGGAGCTTGCTAAGAACTCCCAACTTGATTACTACTTTGTGAAGGATCTTAATGAAGATCAGAAGCTTGAGTTGGAGAGTTGCAGTATTGATGCAGTTGTGTGCACTGTTAGTGTGCAGTATCTTCAACAGCCTGAGAAGGTTGCTTTAAGTCTTATTGATTATGTGTTTCTGTACATTGTTTCCATTATGCAGTTGCAAGGAGCAGTTCTATGCATCGAATTATGTCCATAAATTACGCCCGAAATCCGTATCTGTAACGGTCCAAGCCCACCGCTAGCAGATATTGTCTTCTTTAGAGTTTCTCTTTCGGACTTCCCCTCAAGGTTTTTAAAACGTGTCTACTAGGGAGAGGTTTCCACACCCTTATAAAGAATGTTTCGTTTCCCTCCCTAGCTGATGTGAGATTTCACAATCCACCCCCCCTTTAGGACCCAGCGTCCTCGCAGGCACACCGTCCGGTTTCCACCTCCCTTCGTAGCCCAACATCCTCGTTGGCACACTATCTGGTGTCCATCCCCCTTCGAAGCTCAGCATCCTTGCTGACACACCGCTCGATGTTTGATTCTGATGCCCATTTGTAATAGCCCAAGCTCACCGCTAGCAGATATTGTCCTCTTTGGGCTTTCCTTTTCAGACTTCCCCTCAAGGTTTTTAAAATGCGTCGGCTACGGAGAGGTTTCCACGCCCTTATAAAGAATGTTTTGTTCCCGTCTCCAACTAATGTGAGATCTCACAATCCACCCCCTTTCGGGTCCAGCGTCCTCGTTGGCACACCATCAGGTGTCCACTCCCCTTTCGGGCTCAACGTCCTCGCTGGCACACCGCCCAGTGTTTGACTCTAATACCATTTGTAACAGCCCAAACCCACTGTTAGCAGATATTGTCCTATTTGGGCTTTCCCTAGCAGACGCGTTTTAAGAACCTTGAGGGGGAACACGAAAGGGAAAGCCCAAATAGGACAATATCTACTAGCGATGGGCTTGAACCGTTACAGTATCTTTTGAGCTCGAAGGATCAAACCCGTCCTAAGATTCTTTCTACTTCTCAAAAAAGTTCTAACCCCATGTCTTTACACAACTTCATTTAACACTTCAGAGCCCCCCAAGATGAGGGAATAGATGCAAGAAAGACTAAACTTCAAGGCCATTATTAGCAGACAATCCAAGATAACTATAACGTTCAAACTAACATAAACAAAGCCATACATGTTTACGAAAATGGAAAGGCTAACCAATGAGTATCAATGCAGGTGTTCGCCGAGGTGTTCAGGGTGCTGAGGCCAGGAGGAGTGTTCATCATTAGCTTTAGCAACAGAATGTTCTATGAGAAAGCTGTGAGTGCATGGAGAGAAGGTTCTGCATACAGTAGAGTACAATTAGTAGTCCAATATTTCCAATGCATTGAAGGATTTACACAACCAGAGATTATAAGAAAGATGCCTGCTTCAAGCAGCACTGGAGAAGATAACTCACCGTTCAGCTGGATTCTGAGGCTGCTAGGCTTGTTTTCTGGCTCAGACCCTTTCTATGCAGTGTTGGCTCACAAGAACTTCAAGCCTGTATATACAAATGAAACTAGTTGATCTCGGAAATACGTACGTTTATTAGTTCAACTCTCGTGTCCGTTTCTGAGTAGACGTCTTCCTTTCTGTAAACTTAAATAAACAACCTAAACAAAACCGTTCTTAAACAAAGTTCTCTAATATAATCACGAGAAAATAATTTATTATTAACTAAAATTATCGTTTATTATCGTCTCAAGTGTTGAATGAAGTGTTCATGACAACCATTTCCCTGGTTCTTTTCTTGTTCTTGTTGAAAAGGCTAAAAAAATACAGATCTCAAGTCCCCTTTGAAGTCCTTATCCTGATTAACTTTCGAAAAATCTGTGGAAGCTAACAGACGATGAACGTCGAGGAACATCGGGGATCAAGAGCACGCCACGCTCATTCAGCACGAGGAGTTGTTTTACAGGTTGCTTTGCAATTGTCTGTTGTGTCTACAACAAAACTTCTGAATTCACTTTGCAGGAAAATATTACAAGGAGGCATCGAGATCTCGGACATACTTCTCCTGCCCGTTTCGATCCACGAAACCTGAATAGGAAGCAGTTCTCCTTTTGATCCTCTGATGTTTTCCTCTCACCACTTTCACTTTCCGACCCGAAAACTTCGATATGATCAATACCAAGAACAGCAAACCAGAAATCACCCAAATAGAAATAATCCATAACCTCAAAGAACTAAACATCGCATCCTCTTTCACCTCCTCCGATGATTCCTGAGAACTCTCTGTTGATAAATGGTCGCCTTTTCCAGTATAGCTTTCATCAAGCTTGCCGATTTTCCTCGAAACCCCAGCTTCACTTTCATTTTCTGAGTTCGAGTTGGTCAATGAGCTAGGATCTGAGCAGTTACTCTTCTTATGATGCAGATACAGAGCTTCATTGAGTGTTCTTATACACTCTATGCTAAGCAAGTCCCTAGCAAAAGCATTCTTATCAGTTTGATCAAGTGTTGAAGCATCTGGTGGAGCTGGAAATTGGGCCCAGCATGTGTTGACCAAATCAGTGTCCCTCCAATTTGCCTTGCCAAAGCTCCAATTCCCAACTTTAAATTCAAGTCCATAGTGAAAAACTCTGTAATGAACTCCAGGATCAGGATAATATCCTGGGTATATCAGTATCTCCGTGTTTCGAATATGCCGTAATTGCAACTGTTCGTACACGAAAAAAGAAATATTTTCAGTTTTGTTATGTTTGTTCCGGTATGAAAGTTCATGACGGAAGTAAGATTAAGAAAAAAAATACTTGCTCCGCCATAACCAAGTACCTCGGCAGCACCGAACGAGTAGCCATACATCTCACTAATCCAGCCAGATTCGTATATATCTCCTGTGATATTTGTTGCATAATGAGCTCGATCGGCTCGGACCTCCTCAGTTTTGTGGAGCCATAGCATGGCAAATTTCCTGAGATCATCTATGTGCATGATAATAACACCGCCAACCTTGTCACAAGCTTCGGGATGGCTTGTATGGAGTTTCGCAAGAACATTGTCACAGCCAATCAGGTAACTACCAAACACGTATGTAAACCGAGTCAAAAAAACTTCCTACTAAAAGGAGCAATCGAGTTTTCATACAAGCAATTGCAAAATGCATACTTATGGAGCGACATATATTATTGTGCATGTTATCAGGGAGAGAAATATCAGATTAGCTTCTTACTCGTATGGAGTTGAAACGGGACGTCCACGAGCTGCTTTGAATTCCCACGGCGTAATTGGTCCTCTCATGATCATATCAGCATCAAGAATAACTATAAATTCTGCATCAGTGTTCACATGATTGAGCCAATGAAGCACTGCGGCTGGCTTATTTATTGCTGGATACCTAAGACAGAACAGAAGGATACGAGATTTAGTCTTCTCTACCATTATTATAACTTTTCTTGTTGGGTCTTCGCAAGCAAGAGATTGGAAGATTTTCAGTCTTAAAGGGTAAATATATAACACAGCCTAAGCCCACCTTTAGCAAATACTGTCCTCTTTGGGCTTTCCCTTTCGAGCTTACTCTCAAGGTTTTTAAAACGCGTTTGCCAGGGAGAGGTTTCCACACCCTTATAAAAGGTGTTTCATTCTCCTTCCCAATCGATGTGGGATCTCACAATCCACCCCCCTTCAGAGCCCAGCGTCCTCGCTGGCACTCGTTCCTTTCTCCAATCAATGTGGGACCCCCACCAAATCCACCCCCTTTCGGGGCCAGCGTCCTTGCTGGCACATCGCTCATGTCCATCCCCCTTCGAGGCTCAGCCTCCTCGCTGGCACATCGCCCAGTGTGTGGCTCTAATACCATTTGTAATGGCCCAAGCCCACCTCTAGTAGATACTATCCTCTTTGGGTTTTCCCCATTCGGTCTTACCCTCAAGGTTTTTAAAACGCGTATGCTAGTAAGATGTTTCCACACCCTTATAAGGGTGTTTCGTTCTCCTCCCCAGTCAATGTGGGATCTCACATTAGATCTCAGGTAGAGAAATTAAAAGATGGTTTCTTGCTTTACATCCATATGATGATGCAGAGAAAGATTTTATCCTTTACAAAATAATATATGATACCAGATAAAATTGGGAAGTACATGATGAAATGAATCAAAAAACGATCAAAGAGGCCAAGTGATGAGCAAAAGAAGGGCAGGCGCATGGAGTGAGGACAGAAAAGAGATTACCAGTCGCCGGTCAGAGGATGTCGGCTCATGGAAGGAACATAATGGGTTGGAGCCAAATTGTGACCTTTGTATTTTTTCAAATCCTCGTCGGTACAGCTGAGAAGTCGTGTAATGTTCCCAGGCTGGCCGCTCAGGCGGAAACTATGCATAAGGCCTACAGTTTGCCAATCGAAATAAGTGCTGCACTCGGTCGAGAAAAGGGTGTGGATTTTTGGATATGGTTCCTGCAGTTCATCAAGCACTGGTTGTTTCTGAACAAGTTCTTCCTTTACTGGTTGTTTCTGAACACGATCTTCCTTCACCGGTTGTTTCGGAACATGATCTTCCTTCATTACTAAAGTAGCAGGGGTTGGATACTTCGGTTTAGTTAAGTCAGCAAAGGTTTTACTCTTTAGAAAACTTAAATATTTTGACCACTGTGGCTTCGGGCATCCGTTTCGTTTATGTTGCAACAATAGGCCCTCGTTCAACAGGTTGATACACTCTATGTTTATAAGTAGCCCCCGCTTCTTATTTGAATCGGATTCCATTTGTTGTATCTGCACAAAGTTCAACTTCTTAGCAACAAATAAAAACTTATAAACCAGAATTACAACAAATTCAACGCATAAAAACAATGCAAAATATCCAAGGAACTATTCATTTGGACACATACCTCTCGAGGATACGGAGGCTCGGGGAAAAGGCGGTTACAGTCATAGACAATATCATCTTCATGGTGATATAATTTACTAAAGGACCAATTTCCCACACTAAATGGCAACCCATAGTGAAGAAGTATAGGTTCAATGTCGGGACGAGGAATATAGCCCGGGTATATCATCAAATTGTCGTTAATTTTGTGCCGGAGACCGACCTGGGTTGGGCAAAGAAGTCGCATTAGCAAAACATAAATCTAGAGAAGAACAGAAGTATCTCGAGCAGCCAATAAACAAGGTGCGATAGGAAACAAGTTCATATTGTCCTTTGGCAACGATGAGAGGAAAAATAAAGCTTACTTCCGCAGCTCCGAACGAGTAACCATACATCTCGCTTATCCACCCTTTGCCATAGATATCACCAGTTATATTGGTTGCCCAGTGATCCCTATCTTCACGCACTTCTTCCGTCTTCGAAAGCCACATTGGTGCAAATACTCGAAGATCATCTATATGCATGGCTAACAGGCCACCAACTTTGTCACAGAGCTCTGGGTGCTTGGTGTGCAATTTAGCAAGAATGTTGTCACATCCAACCAAGTATCTGAAAGAAATAATTATACATCATTTGAATAGTCACAACAACATTAAGAAAAAGAAACTTTTGTGCTTATTTTGAACCCTGAAACTTTCAAACATTCATGCACAACAGTTGACAGTATCGAAATCTAAGATTTCTACTAAATGATAACTAGAAAATTTATGAGCAAGATTAAAACAGATTTTTATTGTCACAGCTTAAGCTCACCGCTAGCAGATATTGACTTTCCCTTTTGGGCTTTCCCTCAAGGTTTTTAAAATGTGTCTACTAGGGAGAGGTTTCCACACTCTTATAAAGAATGCTTCGTTCTCCTCCCCAACCGATGTGAGATCTCAGATCTCATAATCCACCCCCCTTCGGGGCCCAGCTTCCTCACTGACACTCGTTCCCTTCTCCAAACGATGTGGGACCCCCCAATCCACCCCCTTCGGGGCCCAACATCCTTGCTAGCACACTGCCTCGTGTCTACCCCCCTTCGGGGCTCAACCTCTTCACTGGCACATTGTCCAGTGTCTGGCTCTGATACCATTCGTAACAGCCCAAGCCCACCGCTAGCAAATATTGTCCTCTTTGGCCTTTCCCTTCCGAGCTTCCCCTCAAGGTTTCTATTTTAAATCACATATGCTAGGGAGAGGTTTCCACACTCTTATAAAAAATGCTTCGTTCTCCTCCCCAACCAATGTGGGATCTCACATTTATACCATGTTTAGAGATTTAAGTTATAACATTTGAAACTCGAGAGATTAAAACATAACACTTGACAGTTAACAGTATAGGGATCAAAATAAACGTTCAAGCGTCAAAAAAAATATATTTAAACCATTTTTTATCACTGCAGAAAGCCAAAAGCATCTATCCAAGTAACTTTGTTAAAGTCTCAGTTTAAGGAGAATAATAAGCTTCAATGCCACAAGGGAGTGAAGAAGGAGAAAAGAGAAGAGTGTTGTAACCCATAATATGCTGCAACAGGTCTGCTCTTCTCAGCACCAAGTTCCCAAGGTATTATTGGGCCTCTTATGATCATGTCTGCATCCAGAATCACAACCCAATCAACATTCTCTGCCTCTTTACTATGCTTAAGCCAGTGGACAACCCCTGCAGGCTTATTTATTGCAGGATACCTGCAAAACAAGTAAGATTTTCTTCTTATATCCTTTTCTTTTCATTTGTAGCTATGTTCCAAAAGAAAAAATAAAGAGCATGAAGTCGGAAGAAATATAATAAGCGAGAATTTTCCAAAACATAAAAAGCAGAAATGAGAAGAAAAGATCAAAGATCTAGAGGGTACTTTGATGAGTGATGAATGAAACTTCCACAAAGCATCAAGTTCGACAAAAACGAAAACGAAAACGTATTGTTTTTAATCTAATATTAAGTATCAACAGAAAACATCTACTCTGTTCAACGATGCAACATTCAATCAAGTTTCTTGAGAGAGGAATGTATAATCCAATGGAATCCTGATGCCCCTCGAGCATGCAACCTGCACAAAGACTCTTCTTTGTGCAGCTAAATTATCCATATTCTTGAATGTTGGCTGAAGTATACATTCTTTGGAGTTGCAGTGATATAAGAAAACTGGTCCTGTCCTCTTGAGGACGAAAGAAAAATGCTTTGTGGGGAACTTGTTTCATGTCAGAGTATTAGTGCCGGTAAGACGTCGGCCATGAAATCCATCACTATACCACACTCCAGTATCCACTTCGATTCATGCTATGGTAACAGCTGACATTTTCATGATAGCATGGTGCTCCCCTTTATTTGGATACCCACTATGGCTTTGATTGTTATTACTTCTGCAGGAGCTACAACGTCATTCCTTGCGGCATTAAGATTGAAGAGGTCAAAATGAAAGTCGTTCCCACCCAGACCCCCTTTCCCCAACTTTCAGCAATCGACTCTTTCAAGTTTCTCCCATTTAGTCACGTCCCTCTTATCAGGTTCGGGTTTTATCACACCATCTCCTCTGACGACCACTCCCTTCTACATTTCTACACCATTGATGATTGCACAACATAATCTTAGAAACATGAATATCACATCTTACCACAGTCCTTAAGATATATTTTCTAAACATGAAGCCTTTCCACCGGCTTCACCATTATCAATTACTAAATTAGCTAAACTCGAAGCAGCCAGTTAGCATCAAACAGTTATAGATAGAGAACACATGCCAAGCACAATACCATCATTCTGTGCTCCTAATCCAACAGGTCAACCAATCCTATGAAAAGAAGAGAAGAAAAAACTGCATACATACTGATCAATCTAATCAAACAGACCAATTTCAGAACTAAAATCAAACAAAGCTAAGGAAGATAACAATCAAATCAGTAACCATAAGCACACCAAAAGCAACACAAAACCCAAATCCTGAACTCCAAAAAGTTCAGGAAATGAAAGGAAAAAGAAGAAGAAACTCTCACCAGTCGCCAGTTTTGGGGTGCCTACTCATGGATGGAACCTCAAAAGTGGGAGCCAAATCCATCCCTCTATAGTTCTTCTTCTCCTCGTCGGTGCAACTAAGCAAACGGGTGATCGGCCCCGGTTGCTTCGACTTCTTGAAGCTATGCATCAACCCAACAGTTTGCCAATCGAAGTAATTCTGACACTCCACCGAGAACAGAGTATGAATCCGCCTTGGCGCCGCCATGTCGGAGTTAATACTCCGCCCATCACCGACCACAAACCCCATCAAACAAACCGCCACAAACACCAAAAATCCCCTCATTTTGACTCAACTCGAGGCCAGATTTCAAATGAGTATTTGTTCTAGAGATCTGGGTTGCATTTCCTGGATCGCAGCAACAGGTCAAACCTCCATTTCTCTTACTCTTTTTTTGTTTTCTTCGACATGGAGGAGAGGGAGTGATGTGGGGCCATGTTAGATAGAAAATTAGCTTAAAATAACAATCAATTGGATGCTATTAAAATAATTCACACCAAAATTGTATCAAAACCTAGAAGCTTGGGGTTGAAATTTACCGCTCCGATTAGAACATGGAGCCGTTGGGAATGGCTTCTCCAAATCCATCCTCCATTTTCATGAAGCGCTGCTCCTCTTCTGCGGTAATCAGTGTGAGAAAAATATACCGTAGAGTTCATCTTCTATCTTTTCCTTCTAAATTTGATCCTCACAATCCTTTAAACCTTCTAATTTTTAGTGGATGGAATTAATTAAAAATGAAGTAATTATTGAATTAATCAAGTAATTACATTAATTACAGCAATTTCAATTTTTTATATGATAATTACATAATATTTACATTTCACCCACTTAGAACCATTCTTGGTCATCCTCTACAACAGGTTCCAGCATAATGTCCACGTGGCAGAAGCCCATTTCATCATCGCTACCACATGATTGAACTTGAATTCCCTTGAGATTCTCCATATATAAATCGTCGTCCTCATCGTCGAGCAAGTGATCTACAATTCTAGAGGCCGACATGTCAAACATATTCAACCCGAGCCCTAAGTTCAAATCCACAACTCACCAATTGACTAGTTGACCACTGAAACTAACGTCACACGATCGAAGCTTATGAGTACCTGTTATCAATGATATTCTGATTCAAAGTATATATATCTGACTCGAGTCAGTTACTAGATTTAAAAAATCTATCACATTTTAAAAAAATGTGTACGTATTTGATAGGATGATCGGATATTTTGTATAATTTATTTTAATAATAGAACCCATTTTAATAGAAATTTGTGAGATTATATACTAAATAATAATTCAATTAATCCATTAAAATTATAAAATAATAATGGTATCATTTGAAATCTCAAATTAAAATTATTATTTTTATTTAATTGGAAATAAATTTCAAAATTACTTAAATAAAATTAATATATTCTCAAATTCTTATTAAATTAATAAGAAACTAAAGTAGTATTTAATTTTTTTTTTTAATCTATAAAATTCTGCCGACCATTTTGAAAACCGACCGTCCGAGTCTGATTGAGGCCGAGTCGATTAAACCGATCCGGTCCGTTTATGGCAATTCTCTTCTTCCTCAATTTCTAAAACCCTAGTACAGATCGTCCAGAGCACGGAAACGGGGGAAGAAGCAAGTCAATGGCGAGCTCAATTCTTGCAAAAATGGCGAAATCAATCAGAATCGCCAATCCCACGCTAATTCCGTCTCATTCGTTTCGCTGGCGTACGCTTACTACCAGTGTCGCCACCGCCGCCGAACAATCTCAAGCCGATGCCGCCTCCTTCACATTCTCCGAGGACAGTGCTAGAGAAGATCCTATATTCGTCAAGGCTCCAAACTCGAATTCCGGAGATGATTCTTCATCCTATTCCAGTTCTTCGGTGACGATGCCGACCTCGTTCATGACTGGTTCTGTCGTAGGTAAGCGGTTTTACAAGCAAGTGACTACGAGAGAGGCAGATGATCGGAATGGATGGACGGTGATGCTTGATTACCGGACGCTGAAGACTCCTTCGAAGAGGCCGTTGAAGCTACCGACTCTTGGCCTTGCGAAGGCAGTTGCGGCTGAGTGGGAATATCAGGTGATTTCTCTTATCTTTTGCTCCAGAAGTAATCCTCATCCTTTTTGGAAGGTTATTGAAATTTCGTTTGTCTGGATTGAAATGAAGATTTGATCGATGTAGGAAACCGATGGGATTAGACCTTTCTCAATGCCTCTAATGAAACTTGCCTGTACCGCATTGGAAAGAGTGCCTCTTACCAGGCCCAAGATTATCGAACATTTAGTGCAGAAATTCAATCAGGATCTGGTTTTCTGTCGTGCTCCGGATGACAATGTTCTAACAAGTGGAGTTTATGGTATGTCAAGTAATCCTATGAGTCCAAACTTTACTAGATGCATTGAGCACGAGATTTACTTGAATTTCCATTCACTAGTTCGTCAAACGGCTGATCAACAGAATATGATCTATAGATTGAGTGGTCTTTTAGGTTTTCTCATTCGGATTTGGTTAATTTAAGTTCATAACTCCTGTGTAGAACACATTTAACTTAGAGGACTCCAAAAGTTGGGAGATTGGTTGAGTAGAATTTCCCAACATCTACATCCTGATATCACTAATCAACCACTTTTCCTTTGGTAGATTTTCGCGACATTTATGGTTATAGCTGCAATAACATCAATATCCTGATTGAGTGATCAACCACAATTTTTTGTTATAGCTGCAAAAACATCTGCATCATGATATGAGTGATCCCCGGGTTTTTTTAGTTGAAACTTCCAAAATTTTTGGCTTTAGCTGCAATAAGATCTAGATCCTGAATTATGTGATAAATCACTTTCTTCTTCTTATTATTATTATTGGTAAGAGGTCATGTCTAGATCCAGAAATTTTGAATGCCAGACCATGCATGTTGCAACAGAGCTAAAATATTGCATGTAAACATGGAATAGTAAGATATATATCCTGTATCTCTTTGCATCTCCTGTTGGAAGTTGATGATACTTTCTTGACAATTGCTTGAGCTACTTTTTTGCAATTCAAAAACATAAAGAACTAGAATTGAAGATTGACCAATTTGTTTGATGAAAGAGATTATTATCTAGGACTGAATATTCATAAAGGTTGAATAAGGTTTCAGTACATAATTGGTGTTACATTTTCCTTGTAGAACGACAAGTGGAGAAAATCGATCCTTTACTCGACTGGGTGCGCTTAGAATTTGGCTTTAAGCCTATTGTATATTCCAGCTTTTTTGGTGGGAAACAGGAGGACGGTCTTATAAAGGCTGTTGAAGATCTTCTGAGGAAAACAGATGACTGTGAATTGGCATCAATTGATGCCATTGCATCAGCTGCACACTCTTTAGTAATTGCTATTGCAATTTTTCGTGGAAAGTTGCAGATCGAAGAAGCAATCGAGTTGATTAGACTCGAAGAAGATCTGCAGGTTTAACTTCTGTCTCCCTCATTCTTTATCATACATATATTTTTTCAACTCAGATAATGTCATAACATGTTCTGAACCAATGGTCGAACGTTTGCAGGTGGATAAATGGGGTCTGGTCGAAGGTGGTCACGATGTCGATATTGCTGATCTACGGGTTCAGATCTCATCTGCCGCAGTATTTCTTGCTCTTTCAAGGAGGTTTTGAATCCATTAATCTGATTACTTTCTTATCCTACCCTATCAGCTAGGATGTGCCTTTTTTTGCTTTTTTTTTTTTTTGTTGTAGATCCAAAGGGCCTTTCTAAATTGTACTCCAAGACTGTTTATAAGACATATTGTAGCTGTGAGCAGTTGAGAAAATAAGGAAGAGATTGTTTCTGTAAACATTTCCCTCTGTCCAAGAAAGAACCAAGTATTTAGATGTCACGACCTCAGTCTTAGCTTAGGTTTGCGGGAATAAATCGAGATCACATACAAAATAATGCATAAAAGGAGTGAAGTAGTAGTAGTAGTAGTAGCTGAGCATGTTTAGTAGGCATTGGCATTGGCATTGGCATTGTCAAGGCTCTTGGCAGCATTGCACGCAGAGAGGTGGTTGTTTATTGATATCACAGTTACAGCAGGCAGTGTCACAGTCATTATTGCACCCTACATTAGACATTTTCTGATATTAGAAAGTTCCTCTCTGGTTAAGATTTCATAATTGTTTTGTCTCAATTCTTGACAAGTCTAGTTTTTATTCTATGTTCTTTTATTTCACTACCTATTTTGATCATTCACAGAAAGATCACAGTTATTATCTAGAGTTTGTTAATATTATGTGAAAATCTCAAATTTATGAAAAATGTTGATAGCTATTGATATTTTGTTAGGAAATCATAAAGTCAACGTTCATGTAAAAATTTGATACTTGTTAATATGTCGTTTAAATTGGTTAGGACATCGGATGTAGCTTTGAACCTTTCTAATGTCTTTCGACATCCTGTTGATAATTGGTTAGGACATCAAATGTAGCTTTGAACCTTTCTAATGTCTTTCGACATCTTATTGATTATTGGTTAGAAAATCGGATGTAGCTTTGAACCTTTCTAATGTCTTTCGACATCCTGTTGATAATTGGTTAGGACATCAAATGTAGCTTTGAACCTTTCTAATGTCTTTCGACATTTTATTGATTATTGATCTTTTTTCTTACCGATGTTTAATATCATTCTATTTTTGTTTTCAAATTTTGAAGATATCCCTTTGTCATAGAGGGTATTTCAATATCTCATTCCTTTGTTTTATTTTGGTTCCTCAAATTTACAAATATTCATTTAAATCTATGAATTTTAATAAAATTATTCCAAATAGCCAACTATTTGTGTTAAAGTTTAAAAGTATATTAAACCAAATAGAAATTAAAGTTATCAAATGGGTTTAAAAAAAAATTAAAATTAAAATTTGACAAATTAATGCAAATGAGATTCAAAATAATTATCTTAAAAAAGTTAATCGGGTAGACATATTAAGAGGCTATTAGACTGAAACAAAAGTTCAGAAAACATAATGGAAACTTAATCACATCCCTTCACATATAAAGGTCAATTCATAAAAATATCGAACGTCGATGTCGAGTATCGACACTCATGGTTGCATACCTGATACCGTAACATACTGAGATGATTCAGAGTCTCGTCTGTTTACAAGGAACAATAGGCGAGTCCCTGCATGAACTCTGGAACTGACTTCCATCAACATAAAGATCACCAAAACTAGAAAGGGAAAGGGAAGCATTGATGAAAATGACGACTTCATAGTGTTGTAATAACCAATAAGAATTGCCTTACGAATTTGGTAAAAGATTAGCTGCTCAGTTGGTGAAGAACCAGCAGCAGAAGCCACACATTATATAGCTTCCATGGCCTGGTTTAACTATATGATAAAACAATCTTATATGCCACATTAATGAATATTGTAATTATCATCCCACATCTGCTGTGCTAATACTTTTCAGTTCTACACTGTATTTACAATCATTTGTTTAGTTGCAACAGAGATTAAGAGTGTCATAAGAACCACATGAGGTTAGTATTCTATACCTCACAAGAAAACTGCATGCTCCTCTTCAATATGGTTTGTTTACCTTCTTCCTGTTCTTGTTTGTTTATCGTTTTTCTGACAGTTACTTCGAAAACCTGCCCAAGTTAGATTCAAAACACATTCTCGACACATAAGGTCATCGAAA